GTACACTTCTGTGTATAATATATGAATCGAATTCGTGTTCGTTTTAAGGCGGGACTCTCGAGAGTACACCGAGCTGCTTGAAACTTTCATATTAGATTGAGGGCGCAATCGAAAATGATATCTGGGCATTGGATGAATATAATACCATGCGACAACCAACATTTAGAGTACACATACGATACAACTTCGAATGCACTTAACAGGAGTTAGTGCTCTAGTACTCTTATAATAAGTGTATGGCATTAGTCGACCTTGAAATTGAATCAATAGGCTAATTGATGTTCTAGTATCGATCTGTTTACTTAGTTTATTAATTTAGTATTTTCATAATCTACATTTCTAATTAAAGAATTGTTATTATTTTACATCATCGACGGTTGGCTAGGCAATCCGAAGAATTTGAAGAGTAAATGTATACTGCACAACTGTATGTTTAGATTCCGTTTAAAGGAGTTATTTCATCAAGTGCTATCATCCATCAGATAAGCCCACGCTACGTGTGTGTGAATTAAGATCATACGATAGTTATGCCACTTCGTATTAATAAAATAATTTTAATGACATACGTTTTACACCGCACATACGTCAACGTTGATTGCAATTTTTTTATCAGACAGATGAACAGTCAAATTCAATGTTGTTAAACCTATCAAAACCAATGTCTTGGTTTATGAAAGTTGTCGTATTCGCATAAAAGTGAATACAGCCGAGGATCACGGGGCAATCGTGGAAAACTGCATATAAACATGCAACATATATTCAATTACAAAAGAATCAAACGACAACTTAGTAGGCAATCCATATGTATTCTACCAATATTAACAATAAGTGTAAAAAGGTACAATAACTGCTGTGTCATAATAGATGCCTCTTAAACACCGTGATATTGATTATCATAGATCAATGTACTTGCTGTCAGTATACTACAGCATGCAACAATTTTTTTTAAAAATCTAGCACGCGGGCAATGCGGACTGATTTTCCCCCGCCCATCGCCCGCAGTTTGTCCGCGGGTACTGCGTTCTACTAAGTGCAATGCCCGTGATTAATTGTATATAGGCCTATATCCTTTGAACGCTCTTGCAAATGCTATAACCGTCTAAACATTGTTCTCTAGCTCGCAAACTTACCGGTATGTCATTTCGATTTCTCTTTTATATTTCGATGCCTGTTAACAATTTTAAAATGCTAAGTTTTGTGTTACGTTTGTGTAAAGTCCTAATCATCCGCGCTTGCCAATTGTTGCGTGTGCGTAATCGTCGCTGCATGAAAATGCCACTTTAACAGTTAAACGTGTATAGTGTTTAGCGTACACCCGTGGCTACCACTAGTTTAGAGATTTAACTGGGCTAAGCTGTCTTCCAGCTGTGTTGACATCGAACTTTCTTCAATGAACACCGTCACTCGGAAGGTCGTAATGAGAATAAAGTCACCGGCTTATCCTACGCTTCTAAATTGTAATGGAGTTGCTATGAATTCAGCTTATCATCAACCTTTACGCTTTTTGCCGCAGGTCAGCGCAGCTTACATAAAATTCGAATTTAAATTCAAATTCTTAGTCAATGATTCGATTTTATTAACGGGTAATTGACATCAATATCAAAAAGATGGTTTAAGTATGTTTAATATGGTAATAGTATGGATGTTTGCGGTGAAGAAAGAAAACTATGTTTATAAATGTATTTAAAGGAAAAATATTTTTATATGATGTGATGAAAATTATTATTGAGAGTGCATCGTTTTATTCAGTGTCTGAAATTGATACATCTCGATCTAAAGTTCTGTTCACACTATCATAATTTTAAGTGACACATTTATGTGATGCGCGCCCAAATATGGACATTTATTTGTCACTTAAAATGTCATAGTGTGGACAGAGCTTTAAGATTGTTTGTGACTTCTTATTGATCTCAAAATTAACGGTGGGGGATCGTTCAGGATTGTTAAAAAAAGTATCATGTAGTGGACATTTTTGCATTTTAATTGTATTCTGATGGTTTCTCTGATTATTTTGAATGTATATTTTTCCATTCTGTTCTGTGAAATAGATTGACTTTAAATACGGTAACCTTCAATGCAGTAAAGGCTTGACCTCATGTTCAGCCATAGAGCAACTGATTGGATTGTCTTGGGTTCGAATCCTGGGGATGATTTTTATTTTTCTTAAAGAACTGTTTATCAGATAAAATTAAACCCAATACTTTTATTGTGTGTATTTTTAATTTGTTAGTCTCCAATTGTAGCGAGTACATTTTTTTCTCTCACAAACACATGCATACCGTTTCTGTAATGTATTCGTAGACCTTTAAACTGACTGATTATCAGTTAAGGGATTGACGGATATAAGAAGAAATGTTTCGATCTCAATTTATCTTCTTTAAGCAATTCAATGATTGCATATACTTATTTGAATTGTTTCCTCAATGCCAGAGGCTAGGCCTAAGAATCAAGTAGTGTTTAGTAATAATATGCATGGTTCAACATTAATTGGAGACATCGACCGATGGATTCCATGTGGACTTGATATACTCGCAGCAATGTCTACATTAAGTGTGCTACCTGACAAACTATACAACAAAATGTGTCTGTCAATAATTACTGGTGCGACAGAGTGAGTCAAATACTCAAACCGCTAACCATGCTTAAACAAAATTACCAGAATTCGATTCGACTTCCCCAATCGATTACACAGCGTCCCTCGCGTCTTCCAGAAAGTAATTTTCCCAAAGAATATGCACACTGAAAAAATGTACATAACCCATTTTAATTTTAAACGCAGTGAGGCACCATAGTTAAAAAAAATCATGATACTATCACTCTAGAGAGTACTAAGAATTACAGCGGTTTTACATCCCTGTCTAGTTGTAAGAAGCATAAAACATTATTTTTTTTATAATCAGGATTGGCAAACCTATCAGTCTTCAAACAGCGAGGTATCATAGACATCGGTAACGCGTAACTTATCTCCGACACATGTACTGCATGAAACTAATTAGAAAGAACAAACAGAAACTGGAAATGTTGCTTTCCAAGATCTACTAAACTACTAGAAAAGAGGAGAATTGAGAGAGAAAAGTTAACCATTTGCTTCCAATTTTTGTTAATTTCGTCGAGATAGAGCGGCCATTAATCATAATAGCGACCAAAAGACGCTTGTGGTTGTTCGTGATAACTCTGAGACAGTAATAATGTGATTCTCGTCGTGCTATTTTCTGCATTCTCGTTGGTAACTTATTTCCATTTCACTCGTTTTTATTACTAATATATGGTAGATTAATACTTGCAGTGATATTTTCCTTGAAAATTTGATGCATAGATAAAATATGCTAATCAAGTTTGGGCATCCATTCGAAAAAGGATATCATTGCCATTGAAAATGTATTAACGTAGAACAACCCACAAATAACGGGATTAAAAAAAACTTTTGAAGAAAGGTTAATCCCACTCAAACTTCCTTCACTAACTTACCGCCGTATCAGAGGAGATATGATAAAACTGTTCAAGATTTTAACTGGTAAATATGACTCAAAGCTGTGACAACTATAGGCCTACGTTGTCTGAGCTCAAAGGTAACTGATTTCATCAATTTCAAAAGAAGTGGAACTAGAAGCCATCAACATAAAATAATTAAAGTTCATACAAGACTGGATATCAGGAAATTTTCATTTATACAAAGAAGCGTTAATTGTTGAAACAATCTCCCTGCCGCAGTTGTTGATGTTCCAAACGTATAGCGACTTTTGAACGTCATTTGGATAACTTTTGGAAGGACCAGCCAATGAAATACGATTATCTGTAAACGCTGAAGTAAAGTTACGCATGTGAACTCAAGAGCAATATTTTGATGATGCTGCTGCTGTTACTCTACAATTGTTGCCCGTTGTTGTTGATGCTATACTATTGCTGCTGCTGCTATTATTACTGCTGCAGGTATAGTACTGCTGCTACTGCGACTGCTGCTGTCACTATCACTGCTGCAGCTGCACTACTACTACTACTACTACTGCTGCTGCTGCTCATAGCTGCTGGAGCCACTATATTGCTGCTGCTACTGCTACTGCTGCCGTTAATCTACTGCTGCGGCTACTCTACTGCTGCTGCCCATTGCTCAGTTATACTACGGTATTGCCACTGGAGCTATACTATTATTGCTGCTACTACATTGCTAAAGCTACTACTGTACTACTGCAACAACTATACTGCTGCTACTGCCGGTGTTACTGTTGCTGCTGTCACTTTCTTTTACTGTTGCTCATTGCTGCTGGAGCTACTGTTACTGGAGCTACAACTACTACTGCTGCTCCTTCTAATACAACTTCTAGTGCTAGTGCTGTTGATAATACTACTTCTGCTGTTGTTGTTGTTGTTGTTGGTGGTGGTGATCGTGATGCTACGTCATAAAACCTAAAGGTTTAATTGATTTTTCAACAAAGACATGCAGTTATTAAAACTCATTATTATAAGATAAATAAAAAGTTTATTAAACTGGCGATTCATCACCAATGCATTATGTTGTTGTCTCCCATGCTACTTTTCAGAATATTCAGTACAGTATAATGTGTTTAATCCACAGCCATTGATAGCTGCATTGTATCCCCATTGTATAAACACTGCATAATTTTTTTCATTATTTTCTGTATTACTTTTTAATATTGATTATCGTATTTTTTGTAATTTTTTTTGCCATTATTGCTTGACAATCTGATTGAATTTAGATAAAACACAACATGAAATGGATTACGTTACTAGACTGCCAACTCTCACTATACTTCCCATATGATAAAGCGATATTATTGGTCAGTTGTGTTTGCATATGTTAAACAAAGGATCTTTTTTCGTGACGAAGTAGATGTCCAACACGCTGGACTTACGTTTCCATCAACCGTAAGCCGCATCGACGGTAGTTCCTAGTAATTTATTAAAACCGTCATATACAGATGAAGTGTCTCGATTTTGATAAAATTTCAGATGAGTAAAACAGTGTTTTATTTATTTTACAGGAAATGCAATAATGACGACGAGCGAAAGAGTGAGAGGACAGCGGTTACCGGTCTAAAGTAAGCGCATTTCATCAGACGTACATCCATCAATAACGCTCATGAAACGCGTTCAGATTGGTACGCGGCTGTGATATGTAAACGCTAGGCTGGTTCTAACGTTAACTACACTCGTTTGGTATTTACTTCACGTAGATTTTTGTTTCAATTATCGATGTGCTATTATCAAGTTGAAGAACATATGGAATTTACACCACAATACCACAACAATGTAATATTAGTAGGCCTGTCTTACAGTTAATTTCAATGGAACATCTAAACTCAAGTTTTTGACAATCAAATAAAACAATCTGCTTTTTATATGTAAAATACATACATATATATATATATATATAGGCCTATATATATTTATTTTTTATCATCGTCAAAGACTAAAAGCAACGTCAATAATGTCTTCGTATAAGTATAATGGCACTAAAGATCCTCAAAACGACGATGTCCCATCTTACCAAATAATATTACCAGCTATTGCGGTGACCATAGTAATAATCGCTATAATATTTGGAAACTCATTGGTCTGCATTGCTATCTGGAAGGTTCGTTCATTGAAAAGCATTCAGAACTGGTTTTTATTCTCCCTTGCAGTCAGTGATCTAATGGTGGGAGTCCTAATCATGCCATTTGGTATTGTCAATAAGCTTCTTGGTTACTGGTTATTTGGTAGCTTATGGTGCCAAATATGGAAATGCCTGGACGTCAACGCGTGTTCAGCTTCAATTTTAAATCTTTGCTTAATCAGCGTTGACCGCTACTTTTCAATCATCAAAGCAGTGAAGTACAATCACTGGAGAAATGCGTTCCGAGCAAAAGTTATGATCGCATCTGTGTGGATACTATCTGCGTTAATTTCATTACCACCTCTGTTCGGATGGCAAGGAGACAACGATGGTGGTGAAAGAATATGCTCGTTGAGTGACAATAACGCCTACATTATCTACTCTACTATGTGTTCATTTTTCATACCTGCGTTTATCATGGTTTACATATATATTCGTATCTGGTTTGCTGCTAAGAAACACGCCAGAACATCAATTCGAAAGTCATCAGAGAAAGTAAAGAAGAAGAAAAAGGGGAAGTACGAATTGACAACTAATGTAGACAACACTTGTGTCGAAAACTTGGAGCCAAGTGGTGGCTCAGATGAAGCCGAACCTCCTTCATCACCTCAGGAGTCTTCGCAAAATGACAATGAGAAGGACAGTGGCCAGAAACAACCAGACTCCTCTCCCAAATGGGAATGGCACAAGCATGAAGAAGAAACCCCCGTCCTGAACAATGCAAATAAACAGAAAGAGACTAAGGCTATTGGTGACGATAAAACTGCCCTAGTTGTGACAAAGGATAAAAACGGTGTAGCAAGAGAAAACGGCAAACTCCTCGCTAAAGAGACAGAAAATGAGCGTCAAAAGAGGAAGCTAGCGCAGGCAAGAGAACGGCGAGCTACACTTGTTTTAGGAATAATAATGGGTGGTTTTATTTTATCTTGGTATCCATTCTTCCAACTATACTTCATCACGGCCATTTGTGATAAATGTCGGTTTCCGGATTTGCTATTCTTATTTTTCGAGTGGATCGGTTACTGTAACAGTGCAATAAATCCGCTTATTTATACATTTTTTAACCGTGACTTTCGAAAGGCTTTTAAGAAATTGCTTGGCTGTGGCCGTTGATTTTTCCACCGCTGTTTATCATATATATATATATATATATATATATACTGTCTCTTATACACAGATGACAGACTTGTATGTGGATTTCAGATTTAGTTAGGCCTATATGTCTATATTTAATTTTTAATTTTAAGACTGCAAACGATATGGATGCATATTTTCATGAAAATGTTCAATCAATCAATCAATCAATTCATGAGACACATTTATGTATCTGTCGAAACATTCTGTCATTATTAACCTGGTACAAAGGATTCTATTAATCGCTTGCAGCCAGATACCTGCTATTTTTGTTAACGTGGGAGTGTGATCAATAAGTACTAGGAAACGCATGCGAAGATGATGATGCCGTGAATAATGGCATTGTCTTCATTATATCTTCTCTATGTCTTTCAATGTAAACATAAAAATATGTGTGCACAGAACAAGGTGTAATTTTCAGCTGAATATTGTATATATTAAGAAGCATAACGCAACACACGTACACAACCATACAATCCCTTACACATACGCCTCACCACACGATCATGACTTGAGACATATGGTAGTTGTCTCAAACCACATAATTATTATATCATTTAATTAAATCACGCGAGATACGCATTCACACTATGACATGTGAGAACATAATGCGACCCGCTTATGGGCAAGGCGGACACTTGCCTGATATTTACACTACAACTCGCAGTCGTCATGTTTGTTATTAAAACAAGCTCAAGTAGAAGGTGTACTAATTCCAAGCTGGTTAGCGTGTCTTTATTAACATTGGTGAGGGACTAAGCTACTTCACGATAGGCCTACCAGACGCTATACCGATACACAGATAAGTACGATCCTCTTCAAGAAATCTGTTTGCACTCTTGACCGAATTGAAATAATTAGACCACGGAGGTATAAAATAGATTAGATAAATAGGCCATGTTAGAACAGGAATTTTGTCCGAACTGGGTTTTCGTCATTATTTATGTAGTGACTTGTTTTTGTTGGAGAATTTAGTAAAGCATGATTGCTGTTAAAAATTTAATTAACCTACCCCTAAAACAATGTCAACAAAATGTCATGTTACTAATCGTTGACAGCAGATTTCCGAAGGGGAAGAGGGTCGAGAGACAACACTAATCTGGGGATTTTTTTTTGTTTTCTAGACGCCCGGAAATAATTTATTTTCTTTCTTTCTTTGTTTTAATTTCCAAAAATGGGGAGGGGGCCTGCCCCCTGAAATCCGCCCCTGGATGAAGACATTATGATAAATAAAAACTGCTGTTGCGACTTTCTCATTCACTGTGTGCTACCATAACTCCTATATTGCGAGGGCGTCAGTTGTATGGGGGCGTTTTGGCTGGATACAAATACTATGTGATATCAACAGGCCGCTGTGGTCTAGTGGGGTGACACTCAACGTGATAGCGAGAGGTCACTTGTTCTGTTCCCACCGGAAGACCTTTTTCTATACACCTCAGGGAATTTTTGTTGAAAGGATGTTTGATGCGATCAAATAAATAAATTTGTTATTTTACATCACATTTTGGGTCTGTTGCAACATGACATATCCTGATTATCAACATTATACACTGCAATAAACTTGTTAAAATTTTACTTCGTTACTTACATCATCGCAATTTCATCTTCGAAAACAAGTAAGTCATATATGATTGTGTACAGCAAATTGATTTTGTTGTTGATTTGATTCCACCTACTGTGTAATGTCACACCAATGTCGGAACGCTAATGCGAATCAATCGATCACCACGCCCGATTACTTAATTATGTCATAAATCGTTCCGAATTGTTTTTGGTGTCTGGGTATCATGAGCATTACGAATATCAGAAATCGAATTAACTCGATTCATTTTTCTAATCGACTTACAAGTTTGTTAATAGATTATTGTTATTGATGGACAGGTAAATCAGAAACATCCCTCACTGAATAAATGTTATTATTGTAAGTCACGTGACTAATTCTGTCGCAAGTTTCATTCGATAGTATGCTCATCCAATTGTGCTTTAGCACCTAAATCTCTCGAGATGATTAGTTTATGTTGCATCCTATAGGTCTACGTTGAAGAATCTAATGGTACGGTATCACAAAACAAAACTGTCAAACTTATCACCCAGAATTCACCATACATGGTATTTAGAATCGGTTGCATTTCTATAAGTATTTAAGAGGGAGGAGTGCTGATGCTGGGGAAGGCGCGATGGTCAGTGAGCGAATTTAAGTGACAAAAAAAATAGGTGGTTATTAACTACTTGAATTAAGCAAATTTTTAGTTGGGGTATGGAGCGAGCTTTTATGTGGTGGGGGCGTACGCCTCACCAATCCCTATAAAGTAGGCCTAGATACGCCACTGCCCAAAATACGCCCCAAACACGCCCCAACCCGCACAGCCATAATCGAAACTCACTGTCATCTTCATATCTACGATTTCTCATTACACTTAATCCATAATTTTTTGCAAATTTCTCAACCCGTTCTCCTATAACAGTGCATTTTACAAATGCAATTTCTCTCAATCATCTTCGACTTTTCTATAGTCATCACTTAATGAAATCGTCTTATGTTCGCCGTTGTAATACTAGTATATATTTGCGTCGGCTCCCTTGCCGCAACTGAACACGCATCAAAGAACAGGGTAGGCTTAATTGTTCAGGAAAATTAATGAATAAGAGAACAATTTTGGAAAATATATAGTAAAAGTGTAGAAATAAAGAGAGATGTACAGTACATATATATTGTAATATAAATCGTAATCGAATTTTTCAAAGCAGTCCGTTTGGTGGAAGAAATGTTGCCTTGTGAGCCTCTGGTTGGTAATCTCTAACTGTAAAGTTATGCCGGGCTAGATCTTTAAATATGTTTATATATATATATATATATATATATATGTATGTATATATATATATATATATCCAAGTATGTATAAGAGACAGACATATGTGTATATACATATCCAGTGCAGCAATGATGGATGTATAGGTGTTACAACAAATGCTATATATGTATAAGGCAATATACAATATATAGGCCAATATATATATTTATAAAGTTAATAATATCTAAGTCTATAGGCTAAGGATTTTTTTTATATGTATTTGATAAGATGAAGGAATGATATGATGATATATTATATAAACCTAATTACAATAAATACATAAAATAGGCTATTGCGATTCAAATAATATAGACATTCTCAGGCCCCTATTCATAAATTTTGCTTTGACCTTCCCCTGTGTGCAAGCAATTACTCTTGAGCTCATTTCATTTTCATTATTTTTGCACCTGTCTTAGGCAAAGGCTTGTTTCAAAATGCCGAATGTGTACGGTACGGGTGGAGGCATAGGGCCCAGTTCCAAGGATACAAGGGGGCGGTGTATTGTTAGGCCTATAGTATAATGTATTAATATTATAAGGCTGACCGTATCATGTTTAACCTTTAACGATGGAAATCCACCAACAAATAATATGCGCGCGTGAATTCTATGGGTCTTTTGTATATTTGTGTAATATGCTCAAGGTTAAAGCAAGCAGTATGTCTTTCATAGTACTATCTTCTTCTTTAATTAACTTTGTCAAGGTCGCAGGGTAATTAGCCATTGAAGATGACTGAAGGGACTGGTTTTGGAATCATTTGTAACACTGGTAATGAGGAAAGCCTCCATGGTAATTGCAGTTTACTATAGAAAATATACGGTGCCATCGGGCACTTTAGACTCTTCTTATGCCTACCGTGTGGATTGAAATCGTTGTAAATCCATGTTTTATAAATCCCAAGATTAAAGGTATCAGTGTTGTGAGTCGTAGATGATTGAGGAAATATCAATTATTTGCGCTGTGAACTCGAATATGAAAAATGACCGGCTATATTATTGATAGTAGGCCCTACCGTATATAATTTGAAGGGTTTTTCATATCAAAGGATATTTAGAACTGATATTATTATTATGCGAAAGACAGGCTTTGAAACGTATTTTATAAGCCTGCATTAAATCGACAGCTGTCTAAAGAACTCGTAGGCAATGCCCCTATTTTTGTTTCCATAGGCCTTATATGTGGCATAACAAGAGTCGTGTATAGTACGGCCTGGTTGTACTTTGTATGATATGACAGCAACTCCGAGCAAGTATTGTATTAACCCCTTCTGCTGTGATACATTTGTCTGAAACTCTGGTATATAGGCCTATATATTTTCCTTTCATTATGTCTGCAGTTGTCCGAAAATCTAATATTGTAGGCCTATGTAATTTTATGTTAATTATGTGACGATGTGGAAAGTGGACCCTTTGGAAACCACTATACAATCGTAATAGACATATTGTTAGCTGGGAAAGCGGAAATGCCGACTTGAAAGACTTCTGGCTTGTATGATCTCCGATACTCTGGAGAACATTGTAAATATATCTACGAATATCAATTTTTCGTTTTTAAATGCGGACCTTCTCCAATTTTTGGGCGGTTCGTCGTAACCCCCTCAACCCCGCCTCTACGGCTACGGGCCTGCATGTAGTTATCCAAAACTCTCGTATTACCGTACATTTGTTTATACAAATATCACGATTGTCAATCTATCGTGCTAGCTCGCCACATTCAAAGTTGTGTATACATAATTATTTATGACGTGTGGCTATTTGAAAAGTGTTTCCATGGTTACAAGTTATTATTGGCTTCGGTTTTTTTTAATGTTTCAGTGTGAGACGTACTAATTCCTGGTCGTCACAGGTGCTGTGAAGTGTCTCGAAAGCGTCGTTTCACCGCAGGATAATATGGAATTAGTAGCCTAGCGCATAAGACACATCACTTGGGAAACAATAGAGTTAATTACATTTTGAGTATGAATTACGTAATATGATTAATATTAATTTAATAATTTATTTTATGTAACTTTGAGTTCAGTGAATAAAATTCTTCGAACCTTATTGCCGTCATCTCGTTGATTGATTTTCTTCCTGAGCTGTTCAAATTTTCGAATTACATGCAAAGAAATATATTCACAAAGATGCCTAATACTGTAGAGAAAACATGCATGACTAACATGATTTAA